AGGTGAGATGAGCTTCACAGCCCCTTAAAAAGTGGTGTTTGTCAAAAAAGTAGTCTGAGACGCACATAGATCAACATTACCTGGGGTGCTTCAATGGAGGATTTGGGTTTTTGGCCCATTTTCTTCATCAGTCATGGTCCATTTAGAGAAATGGCAACAGAAGGGAGGCTAAATGCAGGAACTGCTCCACGACTGTGTCCGTATCTGTGGCGGCATAACCAAACACCTTCAAACTAGTTTAGGAAGGAACTATTGATTACTGCCCACCAGTCTCCTGGGCACCTGGCCCATTCTTCTGCTATTGCCTTCCTCATGTATTCATGGCGAGTGGCAAGTAGTTCCTCTCTGGGGTCTGAGACACTTGATTATCCTCCCAGTGGGCTCTCCCTCTCCAGGATGCTCACCCAGGTAGTGTTCACAGGGGGAGAGGTTATATATGGGAGAACTATGAGCTGGAGCCCACGTGAACAGGGCTGGGCTAAGGGGGAGTGGACGAGGGGGTGTACCCTGCTGCTGGAGACCCCTCCTTCTTCTGCTCATGCTATAACCAGGTGACTTGTCTTTGGCTGCTAGCAATTCACATCGGCTGAGCTTTCCAAAGTCCTTGGGATGAGAATCTGGAAAGCCCCACTATGGCTTCCAGGACTGGCTGCAGAGCATTGAAGGCAGAGGGTGGGGCCATGGGCTGCAGGAAGACAACTCCTAGTCCTCAGGAGATTCTTAGCACAGTGAAGGTTTGAGACCTAGTGTGTTAATTTACTGTGGATTTAGGGGAGTAGAGAAATGTAAGCCCTGGTACAGAGGCACATAGTAAATCAGCTGTAGTTGGTGATGATCTTCCAGGGAATTCTCACTGATTCTAAACTAACTTGATGGAAGATCATATGGACAAGATAACTCGTTTGAATAGGCAAAAGAAAATTGGATTCCACTCTCATTTGTCACCTAAAGGATGATCCACATGGAGAAGCAATAGATATAATAGAGCTTTTAAGAAATACATTTAAAAAATGATCATTGAGGGCCCCACCCTGGTGGTGCCGTGGGTTAAAGCACAGCACTAAGAAGCTAAAACCACTTCAGCATGAGTTTGATCCCCGCCCACCCCGGAGGTGACCACATGGCGTGGCAGACCTCTCCTGACCCGCCCGCTGCTCCCCTCAGCAGTGTACTTCGTCGATCTGCCTGTTCTGCTCCCCACTCTGTCTCTGGTGAATCCTCTCACTGTCCCTGCACCTCTGGCCTGTACCCCAGTTCTGTATGCATAAATGAATAAATCTTTAAGAAAAGATCATTGATTGACAAAACTATATAAATTTGCGGGTTACAGCTTTACCTCAATGTGTAAGCATCACTCACCTCCACTGAAGTTCTAGTGCCCTTCACTCCCAAGAACCTTTTCCTCCCTTTCTGGTAATTACTATATTTTTCATAAAGTCTAAGTTGTTTTTGTTGTGACTTGTTGGCGCATTTGTTTTGGTTATTTGTGTCCGCATATGAGAGAAACCGTCCTGTAATTGTCTTTTACTTTCTGATTTATTTTGCTGTGTGTGATCTTGAAGCTGCCAGTTGCCATTGGCTTGGCCAACAGTCTCGGCCACCAGGTAGAGTATCCTCAGGGTCGGTAGGCCAAGTGGTCAGAAGTGCAAATCCGCTCCTAAAGTGGACGTGCTTGGGCCAGAAGTTGGTCTGCGCCAGGTCTTGAGAAGATAGCAGTCTGGATTGGTTAACGAGAAGAAATTGACAGAGATATTGTTAGAAAACCCCAGCAGCTTCTATGCAAGAGTCAGATACTGACTGATAGTGCAGCTGTGGGGACACCCAGAGGATGACAAAGGGTTGGGAGACCTGAGGCATGTGACAAATGGCAACAGGCTGACCCTGTCCCTGCTCCCTCCCAGGAGTTCATAAAGCCCTGCAGGAAACCTTGAGGCCTCATTATGGATCCTGAAGACACTTAAACATGCAGTGCAGGGATGTGTCTTAAATAGCATTACTTTGTATGAACTATTTAGCAGTGATTATTTATACACCCCCCTACACCCTTTTCATCAATTAGTATTGGAAAATGGCCCGCAGACGTGAAGAAACAGCTACATAATCTTAGCATCTAGGGGCACTTTATAAATCGTGTGCTCCTACTACTCCTGTGGTGCGTATGGTAAACCTGGTGTCCAGAGAGCTTATGGGGCTGATCTGAGGTCCCACAGCCGACTGAAGACCACATAGGACTGAATTCCGGCTGTGAGGCTCCCAGTCAGGTGGGTTTCTGTTCCCTTGACTCTAAGTCATGCCTTTGGAGCAGACCGACTTCTGGCTTAAGCCTGTTCACTTTAGGGGCGGATTTGCACTTCTGACCACTTGACCTACCGACCCTGAGGATACTCTACCTTGCAGAGGCCAGGTCTGCCTCTGGATCCACCAACTCTCCTGTGGTGGTTTTTCAGGAGACATCCACCAACAGCCCAGTCCAGACCCTCAGAGGCAGAATTCTGAGGTACAAGGACAATACTTAGGAGCATTCATTTTAAAGAAATGTCTGTGTTTCTGAAGTCTTCTCTCCCTTTTTCCTGGCCCCAACTGGGTAAGAATAAAGTGTTCGGCCTTGATTGGTGGAAGAGAGAATTCTGTCTAGACATCTGCCCACCTCTGGGCAGGCTCCTCTTCACATAGTGAATTCCTGAAGGATTCCTGTGCTGTCCGCCTTACTAGAAGTTTCCACAGACTAACAATGCTGAAAGCATCATTAACCATCATTGGGTTGTTCTCTCCAAGTACCTGTGTTCAAGGAAATTATAGGTTGATGTCCAGTTCAGGGACCTCAGGATGAGTCCCCAGGTTCCAGGTACTGGGGAGTTAGGTATGTATGTTAGGATCTGGGAGAGGAGCCAGCTCTAAGGCTATGAGTCTCTTGTCTACTGTGGTGCTCAGTAAATGTTTGTTGCTTAAATAAATGAAAGGGAGCCGGTGCTGGCTGGCAGCTACGAAATAGCTGTACCTAACGCACCTTGACTGATGCAGGGTCCTCTTTCCGGAAGTGTGGTTGTGTTTCGTGCCTACCTGGGATTCATCCAGTAATGCTCCCCAGGGCCTAATATATGATGATAAATCATAACCCTCCTAGGTGTTCAGAATCAATTTCACACCTCATCTGTTACCATGAGCAGAATGTGTGAGAGAATTGCCCTCCCTGTAGTAATACATCAGCTCACGAAAATAAAACGCCTGAAGATCAGAGAAGGGAGGCCGGTTAGAGTGCACAGTGCTCCATCAGCCACACAGACATTGATGGATTTGGGGGGATATTCGCATCTGAATCATGATGCCCAGAATGTCTCCAGCAGTGCTTGCAGTTGATGGGCAGCACGGAAGCCACTTAGGAAACTCGTTTCTCATGATGGGTCGTCTGAAACTAGGTCTGTTTGTGGAAGTAATCCCTAAGTAGAATGAAGTATTGTCTGGAGCATTCCTGGCCGGGCTCAGCCAGCCACCCTCAGCCCTCACCCTGTCCCTGACAGGGCCTGGGGGCCTCCTACTGGCCCAGGTGCATCTCACTCCTTGACAAACCCAAGGCTGGAGAAGCCTCTGCCGGCTGATCCAAGTCGGCCTGTTGATCTGAAACTCGCTGGCCTAGTCATTATTTCAAGTTCTCTGGAAAGCTCATCATGCCAGGTAATAAGAGGAGGAAAGAAACAGGAAACAGAATCCACCGGTTTGGAGAGCATCTTGAGTGAGCTTGTCTGTTCCTAGGTAGGGTGCAGGAGAATTTCCTCAGTGGTGGTATTTCACCAGCTGGGCTTCTGGGACTGTAAGCATCAGAACCACAGTGGTGAAATGGGCGTGCTGGCATCTCCCTCAAGACTCACTGGGTTGAAGTCAAGGACTCTGTGATGGGACAAGTATCCAGTGTGTCCTCTTCACCCTCAAGGTGGAGAACTACAGAGGCCCTAGGTAGACCAGTAGGGACTATCCTAGCTGGGGTATCCCAGTGGGGGTATTTCAGCCCCACTCCCTGACCCCCATTTTCAGTTACCTTTTCCAATTCCTGAGCCTTCTGAGGGACGCTGGCATACACTGTCAGGCTCCATGGCGCTTCCCTGCAGGGGATTGGCAGAGAGAGGAAGGCTGGATCGCGTCCCATCACTGTTCCTGAGTCAGTTTCCCTGTCCCTCATTTCTGCAGACTTCTATTTGGCTTCTGTTACTTCCTTTACTCATGAGGATATAGACCTTTCTGTTCCCATTCTAGTAGAATTTTCAAAGAAAACTAAGAAAAATGGGTATATCAGTCTAGTGCATTTAACTGCCTGTGGAGCTGATGTTCTTTCAATGTTTCAGAGTTAACTTTGTTTACCATTGTAATTGCTAGTTACTGTATTTACTGGGCTTCCATTACTCAGGAAAGACTCAGAGACTTGCTTTAGCTTTTAGCATTTGTCTTAATAAGCGTGGCATGCAAGGAGAGCAACCTTCCCTGTTGTCTAAACTTGCATGGCTGAGTGGTGTATCCATTCATGAGAGAGAGGGCAGGAAGTGATCACGGTCTGGACTTACCCACTGGGGCCTTTCCCAGCACTGGCCCAGGGAGCTGCCAGAGGATATTGCTGAGCTGCTGCTACTACTGCTGAGTCGACGTAGCTCACAAAATCTTAGTTTTCAGGTCCTTGGGCCCTGTGTTTTCCTATCAACAGCCACTAGTATCATCTCTGCATATTGCCTCTGCTTTGCTGGGATGCCACATTCATCCGCTTCTTTCTTCTGTCTCCTTCTCAGGTTATTTGACCACTTGAAATAGACCCACCACTGCTCCTGTACCTGCGTGCTGGATTCCTGGTACTTCAGAGATGCTAGTGGCAGCTCTTGGATATCATCTTATGGCTTCAAGCTTATGATCTAAGATCGACAGAATTTTCTTCATGCAAAATCTTGGTAGGAAATCTTGGCATGTGTAGCGGCAGGTGGGTAAGTTTGCTCTGGGTGGTGAAGGGAGGCAACCCTGTCCCTCTCGAACCTTCCTCATGATGCCCTGGGAGATGGTTACACACTGCAGATGATGTTGAATTAGAGGGACTGAGTCCCCAGGAGGGAAAGTTAGATTTTGCAAAGTCCTGTGGTAGATGAATTGTGGATTTGAATAGAGGTCTCTGTGCACTAGACCCATTCTTCTAGGTTCACAAATATTGATGCCAGGATAACGATGGAGACTTGCAGGTGAATGAGCACTGACGGCCTCCTATTAGCCCCATTGCCCCTTTTTCAGACCTTCACAACTTTTCCCTAGATCCACAACCATGGGTCAAAAAGGGTAAATAATTTCCTCCCCAAATGGCCTCCTTCCTGCCCTAGGCTATGTGCCCTGCTGGCTTGTTAATTGTACTTTGGATATCAGGGACCTTTACTCATGAGGGTTCCTTCGCTATCAATAAGTCCTAATAAACCATAATCTGTCATCCAAACAACTGCTGCCGCCTGAACCAGAATGCAAGGGCAAAAATGACTTAGATCTGAATTGGATTGGAAAAGGCTGAGAGAACAGGCTTCTAGTGCGCAGTGGAAGTGCCAGCTGAATATTAACTACAGTGGCACCACTGGCCTGCAGAGGGGACAGTGGCTCAGCGGTGAGAGCTGGACAGGGCCACTCTGCTGCAGGGAGAGGCAGAGGCGTCTGCTGTGGGAGCCACGAGGCTGGCTTCAGACAGAGCCCCGGGGACCTTGGGTGGTTTTCTGCAGTCTGGCCTTCAGAAAGGCCTTTCTGTTCGAATTTTGCTCTTTTTACTTACTCCTCAGAAGTGCCAGGATGACTCGGCCAGGGGCTGTTTTAGGGGCAGGATTTAATTAGCGGCTTGGGGATTCAGAAAGTGGCAGTGAGGTAGATGGGGCTTCCATGACCTCTCTGCCCTGCTGATTATTTCCTGCATTCCAGGAATGGAAGATTTGCGCTGACAGTGAAACAGACACATAATTACAGGCAGTCGCCTTACGCAGTTGGTCTCCACACACAAACACACAGGGCGTTGATAGCATGGGGGACAGGTCGGAAGAGTGCAGGCATTAAGGTTTGCTGATGGTTCTACTGAATCATAGGCAACAGATCATTTCCACAGATCTCAACCCCGGCAAACTTTTAAATTATGTATATGGAATAACTTCCTACTGATCTAACTGCTCGATAGGTTGTGTGACTAATTGTTTCTTTCCACTTAAATGGGAGCCTCCTGGTAGGCTGTATGTTTCTGCACAATTATGTTGGCCAGCCCAAGGGCTGGGGCCACTTTAGCCACCCGAGGAGTGTGCTAATTGTCCTGAAGTATGCTGCCTGGTGTGTGCCTCATTGCCAGAGTGGTCTTAATGGGAACTTCTAATTAAGTAAGAGGAGAGGCAGGGCTAGGTACGCTTCTGCCTCATCAGTTCAGGCAGGCGCCCTTGAAAGTGCCAACGGGAGAAGGCCCAGTGGAGAGATAGCTGGGGCAGAAATGAATGTGCCTCTGGGGGGATTTGTCTGCTCCGCTTGGTACACGTCGTTGGAGCTGTACTTGAACTTGGTCAGTGTCAGAGTGGCTTTGAGTGTGCCAATCCTTCTCCTAGACTCTTGCTCTTTCCAAACTCTGTGCTAGTCTTTGGAAGGTGTGCCTGTGCAGAATTTAAGTAGCTGGAATGCAAATAATTACCCTGAAGAAATAATCTGTGTGCCCTGCTGCCTCCCCAGAGCAGATTGCCTTGGTTGTTAATAACATTGGGCCTGGAAATGGGATCTGGTTTGGCATACTGCACCTACTTTTTTGTTGTTGTTGTTGTTGTTAAAGATTTATTTATGCAGACAGAACCTGGGTACAGGCCAGAGGCGCAGGGGAGGTGAGAGGCTTCACTAGAGACTGAGTAGGGAGCAGAACAGGCAGATCCACAAAGTACACTGCTGAAGGGAGCAGCGGGAGGGTCAGGAGAGGTCTGCTGCGCCATGTGGGTCACCTCCAGGTGGGGATGGAACTCATGCTGAAGTGGCTTTAGCTTCTTAGTGCTGTGTTTTGGCCTGTTGTGCCAACAGGGAGGGCCTTCCATCTACCTTTTCTTAATAGTGTATCCTGGGATAAGCTACTTCCTGAGCCTCTGTTTGTATAACTATAAAATGGGGATACAAATATGCATGAAATACTAAATGAAATGAAAATGGGGATACCCACACTAAATGGTGTATCTGTGATGTTTTGGATGTAGACCTAGGAAATGTCTGCACCCCACAGGGATGGTCGCGTCTTCTCTCCCAGCCACTTCAGACTTGCCCACAGGCAGCGTTAGCAGAACAGGAACAAGCTTACTTAAAGTTCACTTTTTTTTTTTTTTACTATTTTGACATTAAAACAATTATTATATCATTGTTAATTTTTGGATAGCATTTGATTTGTCCCCTTATCTGAGTCTTGTCGCCTTGTATCTTTTATGTCATTGTGGGAACATAGACTAGCTCATGATACTAAAGACAAATCATTTTCTTCAAAGTGGAGGTACCCAGGGTCACCATAGTTCGGACTAACTCTTCAAATGAGAGAGCATTACAGTGCCGGTCAACGAGGCAGAAAATAAACAACAGTTAGAACCAAACAAAGATCTAGACATCTGTAGGTCACTGCACTCCTCAAATAACCAATTTCTGACCCGTGAGCCAGGAATGTCTTTGTATTTCTTTGTGTCTTCTTCTATTCCTACTTTTATTTTATAATTTTCCTTATGCAGTTCTTTCACTTCCTTTGGTAGTTTTATTCCCAGTTATTTATTTTGGGTACATCTGTAAATGGAATATTTTTCTTAATTTCTTCTTTACACCGATTGTTTGCATATAGGAAGACTGACTTGTATATTGACTTGTAACCTACTTTACTGAGAGTGATTTATTGTATAAATTATTTTTTCTGTGGTTGTCTTAGGGTCCTTTTTATATCATATAATCTGCAAATAATGATACATTTACCTCTGCTTTCCCTTTTATGTTTTTTCTTTTGCCTAATTGCTCTAGCTAGGACTTCCATTGTTATAGTGAAAAGCCATGGTGAGAGTGGACACCCTTATCTTGTTCCAGATCTTACAGAAAGGCTTTGTTTTTCACCACTGAGAATGAGATTAGCTGTGGGTTTGTCATATATGGCTTTAATAATATAAAGATCTGTTCCTTTTATCCCAAGTTTGTCAAGTACTTTCATTGTAAATGGATGTTGAATTTTATCAAATGATGTCTTGGCATCTCTTGCTAATGATTATATAATTATTTTTCTGTTAATGTGGTTAATTATGTTATTGAGCCATCCTTCTGTGATGTATAATCCTTTTGATACATTGGTAGATTTGGTTTGCTAAGATTTCAAGGATTTTTGCATCTGTGTTCATCAGGGAGATTGGTTTTTAGTTTTCTTTTTTTGTGTTGTCATTGTTTGGTATAAATGTGATATTGGCCTTGTAAAATGTATTTGATATATTCCTCTCTTGCTTTCTTCCATTTTTTGAAAGAGGCTACTCATCACTTCATCTTTGAATGTTTGCCTTGTGAAACCATCTGGTTCTGGGCTTTTGTTTTTGGGGAGGGTTTTAATTACTGTGTCAAATCCTGGCTTGAGATTGGTTTGTTCAAATTGTCTGATTCTTCTTTGTTCAGCCTCGATTGATTGCATAAGTCTAAAAATTTGTCCCTCTCACCTAGATCGTTGAACTTGTTTGCATATAATTCATAATATGAATTATGTTCATAGTAATCTGATTATCTGGATTTTTGCTCTGTCTATTGTAATTTCTCCCTCACATGATTCTGTTCATCTTCTCCCTCTTTTTCTTTGTGAGTCAGGCTAGATGTCTACGTATTTTGTTTTTTCCAACGAACCATCTTTTGGTTTCACTGATATTTTTGACTGTCTTCATTTTTCTATTTATTTCTGTTTTAAAATTTTATTTTTCTTTTACTGGCTTTTGTTCTTTTGTTTTGTTCCTCGAGATGGAAGATTAGGTTGTTCCCTTGGATTCTTTGTTTCTTGATATGAGTCTCTCAATACTGCTTTTGCTGTGCCCCAGAAGTTCTGGAAGGTTGCGTCTTCATTATCACTTGTCTCGAGGTATTTTTTTCTTATTTGATTTCCTCACTGATCCAGTGTTCTCTCAGTAGTGTGTTTTTCAGTCTCTATGTAATGTAGGGACTCTTTGCTTTCATTTTGTAGTTGATCTCTCGTTTGTGATCTTTATGGTCAGAGAAGATACTTGGTATGACTTCAATGTATTTGTTGACATTTATCTTGTGATCCAGTATGTTGTTATTGATCCTGGATAATGATCCATGTGTACTTGTTTTTTATTTTATTTTATTTTTTTTGGGGGGGAGTGCAGTGACCTATAGATGTCTAGATCTTTATCTGGCATTCTATCTTTTATTTTCTACCTTGTTGATCTGTATTTAAGTGCTCTCTCATTTGGTGAGTTACTCGGAACTGCAGTGACCCTGGGTACATCCACGTACTCTTACTGGGTCTTGCCACCTGTATCTTTTATGTCCTCTGTGGGAACATAAGCTAGCTGGGACAGGAAGGGCTCATGATACTGAAGACAAATAATTTTCTTCAGTGTTCAGTCAAGTGTCTGCTTGGCCAGCTGCCTTTGTGGAACAGGGTCTGAAGAATGAGGTTTCTGTCACCTCTAGACATGTGTCCCTCAGGTGCCTGGGATTGCCATCCCCCAGATCTGACCTGTAGAGTGCTGATCACTCGTGCTGCATGGGAGTCAGGGGAGAACCATGTGGACTAATCATGGCAGGAGGGGTTGGGGTAGTGATGTACTTGGCATAGCAAGTGTGGGGGAATGGAGGAGTTGAGAGGGATTACAGATGCCCCCCTCTCCAACTCCTTAGACCTGCACTGAGCAGGGTGTGTGTGGTGGGAGAAGAGTCCTGTGTGTGGGAGCTCTCAGCTCCAGCTACCTCCTGATAGTCAGACATGGTGGGCTCTCTGGCTCTCATTAGTCAGGGGAGAATTATGACTGCACCCAGCCTTGGCATCCTCTCCCCACCATGGCATCTTCTCTCCTTACCCGCCCTCCCGCCCCGGCATCCTTCCCATGTGAACCTGTATGGGTCCCCCAGAGAGTCACACTACCCTAACAGCAAATGGCAGGTAGAGTGCCCCAGGGCTCATTCCAGCACTGTCACCAGCCAGCACAAATAGCTCTTAGCATCACACAAAGTTAGAACCTGTCTAGTTTCCATCTGAAGAAAAGTGAGGTGAACCTTAGTTTGAGATTGAAACCTGGCAAAAAGGTTTGTCCAGAGGCAAAGCAGATGCCATGGGCAGAGCAGGATTTGGTCTCCGCTTTTTGCTTCTGGTGCATCTCCTGCGCCTGCCCTCCCTGCCCTGGCAGCAGCAGATCCTTCAGCAGCAGCCGAGGGGCTCCTTAGATGCTAGGTGGCACCAGAACACCTTTAAACAAAAGGCTCTGGGCCCAGCCGCCATCTGCACATGCCTGAAGCTTTATCTCTACTGCTCTGAAGCCTTGCTGCAGGATTCAGGCCGGGGCAGTCTTCTCTTTCTGTTCTGGAAAAATCTGCCCACCTAGGGCACTGTCCAACTCATCTACCCTGGACTCCTGCCTGGGGTCTGTTCTCTGGTTATCTGGGAGAATTTGCCTCTGTGTGCAGAGTGGGAAGTTCTAGCAGGATGATCAGCTCAGGGTGTGTATGTGTCCGGGGGATATTTTAGGGCAAGCAGGAGTTCTGGTTCTCTTTGCTACTAAGTACTTCTTTACTTACTGAGGCTTGTGTCTGGGTGAGGAATCCCTCTGAGCCTGGTGAGGGTGTTCTTGCTCAGGGCATGTGGCCAGTCTCGGGCAGAGCTAGGGTGCAGTTCATGCATTCAAACACTGCATTCCTGTCTTGCAGGACAATGCCAAGCTCCTCTGTCATCTGGCCCTTTTCCCACACCCCAAGTCCCCATCCCTCTTGCAGCTGTGTGGTCCAGAGTACAGGCTCTGGTTTCACGTCTCTCCATTTCTTGTGTGACTCTGCCACATTTAAGTCACTTCTCTCTCTGCCTCAGCTTCTCCCTCTGTAAATAGAACATGGTAGATTGCAAATGACTTCAGATTTCTTTGTAGCTCCCCCCATTAAAAGCAGAGTGAATTTTTCCCACCCTTGACACTGGGCTGGCCTTGTGCCTGGCATCGATGGGGTGACGCTGATGATGTGTGACTTCTGCACCACTGTCTCAAGGGGCTTTGTAGCTTCTGTTTTTCCCCCAAAACATTGCTGCCATGTCACAAGGTAAGGTTGACATCTGTGAGGGTGAGTGACCAGACCCAGTAGTCTTGGCCCAAATTACCCCTCAGCATTGTGATCATAGGTGAGGTCTGCTGCACCCTGTGGGTAGCTCCTTGGCTGGGGATCAAACTCGTGCTGCAGTGGTTGTGGACAGCTTCATAGTGCTGAGACTTAACCCCTTGAACCACCAGGGAGGCCCTTGCTTATTGAGTTCTAGTCTGCTTTTTTTTTTTTTTTTTTTGAATGTATCAGATTTTCTTTCTTAGAACCCACTTTATTCTCTCCATCTAGAATCATGTCATGCTTCCAAGGTCTCAGCTGAAACCTCTCTTCCCTGACACCCTGGGACCCACACCCTCTTTGTCTCCATTCTGGCTTCCTTTGTGTGTAGTCATTTCACATTAGTGTCCTTGAATATTGTCTGTCTCTGCCTTCTAGTTGGTAAACTCCTAGAGGGCAGGAGCTGGGCCTCTTTCTTCCTTAATTCATCTCACCCGCCAATGCCGTGCTGTAAACAGGGCTCACTTTTCACTCAGTGAATGAAAAGTGGCACTCAGGGGTTTGCGTCAGACTTCAGGTGGACGGGAGCTGCCAGGTCTGTGTTTTAGGGAGAGGGAAGTGGGTGTGCCACTTCTAATTATCAGAGCCACTTATGTTAGATTAAATACAGCCCTGAGAGTCTAGTCCAGCAAGGCTGGGAGTGCCCTGAAGACAGGGATTGAGTTCCTGACAGTCTTTAGCATACTACTAAGCATTTACTATGGACTTATTTGCATACAGAAGGGTGAATGGATGCTAAGAATGATGGATGGATGGATGGATGGATGGGTGGATGAAAGCATACTCAGGACTGCAAGCAACTATGGAAAAACCATGTTTATTTTGCTTCTTCTAATGACATTTCTAGTCAGTAAAACTCAAAAGTACAAAAGTGTACTGAATACAACATGAGTATTATGTTAGAGAAGGAGACAGTGGTATACTGCCCCCACCCCGACCCCCAAGATGGCACATTGGGCTGTCACAGTTGGTTTATAAAGAGGGTCATGGGTAGGTGACCAGTTGTCCTGACTGGCTCAGGAAGGAACTTTCTGTGCTAAAACTGGGAAGATGAGCGATGCACAGCAAGAGGAACAGCACCTCAGTGCTGGGCACGGTTTGCGATGTAAGTACGGTGGTCAGACTGAACGTCCCCCACTTTTCCCCTTAGCTCTGTGGTATAATTGATGATGCCACCTTCACATGTCCTGTGTGACTGAGACTTGATCTTTAGGCCAAGTGGGGGAGATGTGGCATCAGGCTCCAAGGATCCTGGCCCCTAAAGAGTGTGGGGCAGAGCAAACCTAAATCTCCCAAGGCTATGGTGCTTCCCACTACTGTGCTCTTATACGAACTGTCCTACCTGTCTCATCTGGCTTTCAGGAGTGGGCAGGAATTGTAAGGGGAGAGAGGGGACCCTGAGATCCGAATTTTGGCTCTATTCCCTCAGTTAGTGTCCTTACTGCTTTGCCTGCTATGCTTATCTGCTCTTCCTCTTGCAATCCTCTGGCTGGCCAGTGCTGGTGCCATTCAGTAGCAGGGTCCCTGGGAAAGACTCAGTATATTGGTTCCACGATGATGCCCCAAATGGTCCCTCAGGTATGTCAGCAGTCAATTGCCAACCTGGAGATGTTATTTTGGCATCTTTGCTGAGTAGTAGCTCTCATGTAAGTCAACCTGTAGCGTGTCTGACTGTTAAGCTCAAAGCCTTGTCACATCCACCTCTAACATACAGGGGCTTGAAGATAAGGAGGGCGGGCTCAGTAACCCCCTTGACCAGGGCCACATCATCCTAGCCTAGTAGACCTAACTTTTCTTGCTGTTTTGAGTTCTAGCTTTTTGGCACTATGACCTCCAGGGAGAAGTCATCCCACCTTCCTCCGACTACTGAATTTAAGTAAAGAATGTGCTAGTGTTGTGGAAAGGGTGATACTCTGGGATAAGTCTAATGAATACAGTGTTATCACTGGATCTACCCTTTGATATGTTATTGTTTGGGCTGAGAATTGCTCTATCCTATAGGTCTATTCTTATTGGATGTGCTAAGATCTCCTGATCTTAGAGTTTTCCTGTTCTAAGAACTGAATGAGGACAGGTACTTTGATTTTAAAAATAAATAAAATAAATAGCTTTAGAAAAAGAGTGCTGCGTGTGTCCTCTCAGGACATCTCCCTGGGCAGCAGTCAATTAACTAAAGCAGAGGGTTTCCAGTCTACCAGTTCCCTTTAGTATGCTCTGTTCTCTCCATGTGTGTGTCTCCAAGTTCAAGTTTAGTTGAAAAATCTTCAGATGCGATTCTTCTTTGGCTTAGAAACAGCAAGAAGACTCAACTGTGAGTGGAAGAGATGTCACCCCAACATGGCCAGTGCTGTGATAGAGTTCAGATGGAGCACTTAGGTGTGTGTGGGGGGGAGGGTCTTTAGCTCTTGGCCTTGAGGGGTGAGGCAGTGGTCTGAATAGCTTAGAACTTTCCATATCTCAAGATACCAGATGGATCAACTCATTTCTTGGAAACTTAAGGCCCAGTTGTCTTGGGTCCTAGGCTGTTCTCATCTAGAAAGTGAGAAGGTGGTCTTGAGGCTGAAAACTTTGAAGAGAGCCTCCTTCTGAACTGCTGTTTGCAGTATGTGCTTTCTGGCAGCCAGCAAAAGCACATGTTGAGGGATTTCCAGTTCCTGTTTGTCTCAACCCCTGAGGGCCAGGGCTTCCTCTGAGGAAGTCAAGTCTCCTCTGTGAAAAGAATTGAGTCCATGAGGCCAGTGGCTGGGTGGCTCCCTCTGAGTTTGTATACAAGTCTGCTGCCCTTATATGGTCAGTGAACTCTGGGACCTGCGGTGGCTGCCCCTGCCTGAGGGCTGGCTCTCGTTGGCCTGTCCACGTGAGTTGGCTGTGGAAGCCATCATTTCCGTGGGCCCCAGAAGGCACTCCCCAGAGGGGGGTTTGGCTGAGGAGTCCCCCGAGTCTTGGGCATCCCTCGCGTGGTCTCTGCTGCTTCTCTCTCCACATAGTGCCCTGTGTTCCTTGCATTTCCACATGGGAGAGCTAGAGCTCTTTGGGGTGCTGGCTTTGAAGTCCAGACCTGGGACAGGTGGCACTCGCTGGTGGGTGGGCTGAACCTCTTCAGGAATGGAGTCAGGTCTCTGCTTACTCTTCCAGCTCTGGATTTCCAGGTTTCTCTTATCCAAGGAGAGTTTGTCAATTTTCTGAGCTTTTGAGATCAGCGACTTCCCGTAGGTCCCTTGTAGAGACAGGAAAAAGTACCTGGTGGGGAATAACAGAAGAAAGTCACTTCCTGACCTTTGCTCCTTCTTGAAAATCAGCATTGGAAGGGGGCTTAGAATCCAGCTCCCAACCCAGCTTGGGCGGGGCACTTCTCATCTGAACTCCTGATCAGTAAGCCAGCACTTGTGAGACTCAGCAACCCCAGAACAGATGGGATTATTGTTGATTGCTTTACATACTATCAACTGACATGGTTCTCCCAACAGTCCTCTATGGTTGCTACTTAGGGTCCCCTTGGGAAGATGAGGAAGAGTCCCAAATTTCTTAGAGGGTGGATCATAAATTAAGTGATAGATGTCACCCAGTTTTCTGAAACTTAATGTGCCTAGTGGGGGTGATGAGTAGTTGCTAGAAGGATGTATTTGGAATTAAGGAGAGAGATCTGTGATGGGAATTTATCTTATAAAAATGAAATTAAACTTCACTGTAGTGGCTGCCATATCTATGGAGCAAATACAAAGTCAGGAGACAAGAAATTTGACTCACTGTCCACCACATCAAGGACATGAAATAGCAAAGGAGACAAAGAAGTTCCTACTCCAAAATCAGGAGTGTTGGCAAGAGGCAGAGATCTCAAACAAAACAAAGTTTTGGGCCACTGAGGCTAGGAAAGTGGGTAGAAGCACTGCTGTTCTCTACTGAGGCTCATGAAGTGCAGCTCTGTATGCTGTATCTGAAGTGAGAGTGCTCATTTCTCTTGTCTTCTCTGTAAAATAATTTGTTTCTAGTTGGGGAGAATCCGAATTTTTTTTCCAAATGGACTGAATTAATTGGATCAAAACAAGTGGGGTCTCTGTAAGTGGCTAATTATCAAAAGCTGGGTGAGTGACATCAGTTTCCATTATGATAAAGTCAGTTTAAGCTTTAAGTGAACAAATAGTTTGTCTCAGCAACTTATGTAGATTATATAACAAAATTGTGCCAAGATATGTCAACCATCCTTCAAATTATTCATATAATCCTATCACTGTCAGAAGAAATCTCTTGGCCTTTCTTAGTAAACAAACTCAACTTCAGTTAATCTTTGCTTATTCTTTGTTACCATTAAGTTCTGTGGTCACCATGGTAACTAGCAAGGAACTATTTGCTGACTTTCCCTGAATTGACCTTATCTGTTTAACAAGCGGTCTTGTTGAGTACTTGTCTTTTCAAAGTATGTGTCAACAGTCTTCTCAAACTTTTCATCCATCCTCATGGAACTAGAAATGGTTGACTTTGAGTTTTCCTCTTAAGGGTAAGACAAAGAATATGGGGTTGATCATTTCCTCTTTCCACACCCCAAATAAGAGGCACATAGTCCTTGGTCAGTGGTGATTACAACAGTGCTGAATGCTTAAAGTGTGGTCAAAATGAATTAACCTGCATAATTTGATGCTCTTTTCCAATGATTGGACTGAGTGTCTCTCCCCAGGGATTGAACTGAGAAGGGGTGGGGTGAGAAGGCCCCCTAATGCTTGTTCTTAATGGCTTCCCCAGGACCCACCCTAGGTTTCAGCAGTTGGATCTGTCTTGTGGTCAGGCTCCTGCATGTGTACAGGACTGTGGGCATCTTAAGAGCATGAGTCCCATTTTACTCCTCTCCCCTCTTTTCCTTTGACAGCCATTTCTCTCTGAGTGTAGCCTACAGGACAGGAACTGGGCTTTTATTATGTGATGAAAAAGAGGCTACCTTCTCTCCAGGAATTGATTATGTAATTTATACAAAAATCAGATCATTAAATGACAGATACACCCAAATAATGGAATACAAAAGGGGATTCCTGTTTCAGCCGGAGAAAGGGAGGTAAAGCGATGGAAGGCTGGTAGAATAGATCACATCTAAAATAATGTCAAAGGGGAAGGGCATCTGGAGAGGAGGAGCGGCATAAAACAAGCAGGGAGTTGAGCAGGCTTGGACTTTTAGGGAAGCACCATCTTCCCAACCCCCTGCTTTAGACACCAGCAGGGAGGCTGTGTACACAGTGCTCACAGAGAACTCAGCCAACACAGTATTTGCCATCTTGGGTTTTCAGCATCCAATTGTATAACACACTTCTAAGTCCTGAGGAAGCTTAGGACATGGGACCAAAATAGATTAAGCAAGTTGCCCAACTAATTAAAAAAGCAATGCCCGCTGAAAGTGCTCGGTCTAAGCTTGGATGTGAAAAAGCTCTCCACAATGGAGCCAGGACCTGGAGTCTGCAGTGGCTCAACGTTAGCATTCAGAGGAGTGAGACCCTGAGAATGGCGGGGGGTTAAGCAGGCCTGTGGCTCATGGTCCTGAAATTCCTTGATAGCTCTGACTGGAGAGGATGGGCTGGAGAAGGAGCAGGGCCCCCGCTGTGATGAGTTGTGGGGTGTGGATGCACGCTGGAGGCCCAGGCGCAGCTCTGCCTGACTTCTCAGTGATGAAAAGAAAAATGAAGGGTTATCACAGGCTGTGTGCTTAGTGACTCTACAGAAATGGACACACTGTGGTGGTTACTATGTCTCTGGAGAGGGAAACTGCAGACGATTTAGAAATGTGAGTCTCAGGGCACAGAGAATTTATTTAGCCAATCCAGTTTTTGTGGCTATGCTTACAAACTGGAGTGATTGTTTTCCAAGTTATGGAAACAACCTAAAACAGATGAGTTGATTAAGAGGTGGTGTGTTTGTATATACGTGTATATGGAATATACCATGCAGCTAGACAAAGGGTGAAATCTAGCCATTTGTGGAACTTGAAGAGAACTGGAGGGGGGATTATGTGGAGTGAAATAAGTCAGCGGGGGAGAGGCAAATATTGCAGGCCTTCGCTCATGTGCAATACAGAGTTAAGGAACAGACACACAAACCCTAGAAATCTGATGGTAGACTTGAGGCAAGCAGACCGAGATGGTAGGGCAGGATTACTGAGGCTTTTTGAGCTGCGTGTGTGGTGTGGCACCTTCAAGGTCACATAGGTGTTGTAAACCAGCATTCCCTCAACAAATAATTAAGAGAATAAAAGGTGGCTCTGGCATGCAAACCTGTACTTCTGGGAAATAAGAGACGCCCTGGGGTGCTGGGCTTGCTCTCTCCCTGTGGCACAACAAGGGCGAGGCAGGGCTTTTCTCCCAGTGCTGCTTTACTGGAGCTGCTTGCTTGTTCACCTGCAGTCATGTGCCCGGACAGCATCTGGGTGCAACTCTTTTGGGCTAACAAAGGACGTTTCGAAAATGGTTCCTTGTATATGAAATAAATTTGCAAGGCAGGAGTGTGGGAATTATCATGTGTTATTGATGTCAAAACCACACCAGACAGGGCGTCTCTCGCTCAGGCTTCTTTCTGCCCTAGCATCCTCTTTTTGAAATGACTGAGCAGAGGTCGCCCTTCCAGTGATGAAGTGGCTGCTGGTGGGGAGATGCCCAGCTCCAGGGAAACATTCCCCCGGGCAAACCTTGGGAGGAGGGCGGCCACCGGCGTGAGGAAGCAGACGAGGTAGAAGGTCGGGTCTGAGAGCTGGCCTTCCATCACCCAGTAGGGGTTGGCGGGGCTGTTGCAGACGACGCAGGTGGCGTGGTACAGGAGGGACACCGCAAAGTACATCAGGAAGCTGCCCACGAGAACAAGCCCATGAATAATGGTCTGGGGAGGGGAAGAAGGGAACATGGTTAGAGGCGGGGGTACAGCGATCTAGCCCAGTCATGCCTCCTGTGACTTTAAACTTTTTGCAAATGCAACAGATATATCAACTATTCGAAAAGGTGAGCTGCTCCATGGGTGGGGATAGAGCCAACGTTTGCACACCCATTACTCCTAAGTCCCCTGTGGCTTGCTGATAATGTCCATGCTACCGTTTCAGTACCATCTATGTTCCCCTATGGGGACTGTTTTAAAATGTCACAGGAGGAGAATCCTGCTTAGTGGGATGTGTCTGTCTTCCCCAACCTGGTGGTTCCTTTGCAAAGCTGTGCTGTCTCTTCTGCTCTTCAATCCGTTACCCTCTTTTCAACTTAGCATTTTGGGTAAATTCATTTTCCTCCTTTGCTAGTCTGAAAATGGGACACTTTGTTTCTCCTTTTCCCTGTGAATTGGGAGTGAGGTTTGTCCAGCTTCAGGTGTCCTCGACCTGTCTAGAGTCTGACTGTAGACCTGTCCTAGAGTCCTGTTGATTGTTTGGTTTCTGTTGTAATTTTTATTAGCTCTTTCCTGCTGGTGACTTTTGACTTTTTTTTTCTTTTTGGTTCCTTTAGGCACAGGTGTTGATTTTTTTGGTCTATCCTGAGGTAGCCTGATTCTCTAAGCAGCCCCCTCACGACCTTCTGCTGTGTTCTGTAAGTTCCTTGTTTGTTTCCAGTTTCCATTTCCACACAGACTCAATACCTGTTCCATAGCATGTCACCTAGTCTCCTCTTCTGGTTGACTTCCATTTTCATACTATTGTGACACACAAAAAAAGTTTGCTCTGGTTTCACCCTTCAGAAGCTGAGCCTCTTCACATCCCAGCATGCGGTTATCCTCGAGAATGTCCCCTGTAGCTCACAGGGACGTGTGGTCTGTTGTTTGCGTGGAATGTTTTGGAAGTGCCCAGGACCTCTTTCCTGCCTAATTGGGCCTCTGAGGCCATTGTGAGGCTTCTGTCTGTCTGCGTACTGCTGTGAGCGGGGAAGTAATGGCCCTGCCTAGTTCTTCTCATTTGTGGAAAAAAAAAAAGTATAAATAGGGCTTATCTGTCCTTTATGAGTTCTGTCAAGCTCACCTTCTAATCCTCTAGGCCTGAGGTATTGATAGGATTAGCTCTTCTATTTCTCTAATGGTGAGTGTTTTTTGGGACGGGCCTGCAGCATGCTCTCAGCTGTGTTTTGGTAAGGCATCCATTTGAAGAAATAGCAGCTTGATTTAAAATTTCAAACAGATATGTAAAGAACTGCCTCCACCTCTCAGCACAGGCTTTCCTTTACAGGTGCCCTCCTGCGGCTTCTCCTTGTGCCTGGGACTCAGTTTCCCCAGATCTGGACACTCGTGTGTCTGGGCCCACCTGTCATCACCTCGCCTTCCCACGGGCTGCTTGGTTTGCCCTCATCCTGCAACTTCTCCACTTGATTTCTCAACTTACTTGATTTCTCAACTTACTTGAAATTGATTTTTTAAATAATAAAGGCTGTAGCTGTAGCTCACAAGTTTACTCTGCCCCATTCCACCATCCAGAAGTTGAAGTGATTTACAACTCTATATTTGAACATGGAATTAATGATACTGATTTATATTTCTTTTGACTCAGAATTTCATCTCAATTTTTGGTAAATGGTGTGTCAGTGTTTACAAGGATGCATCTTTTGCCTTTGACTTGGTGTGGGGATTTTATATATTGATCAAATGTGATGATTTATTGAAAACTTCTATAGCCTTTGTTAATTTGATCTATGTTTCTGATAGACTTGTATGAAAAAATCTGATTGTCCAGTTGTATTTCTAAGTGAAAAAATGTTCAGTCATAACTTCTGCTTTCTAATCAGTGAATTAAGGCCATTTAAATTTCTAAGAGTACTGATATGAGTACTGCTGCTTTCTCTTCCCTTACTCTTATCTTACAGCCTTCAGATTGATAGTTTCCTATATTTTTCTTTCTTTCATTTTCTTTGCATTCCAAAATAAAGATATGAAATGTGAACTTACTTGGAAAAATTTATAGTTAAATGTGTATTTCTGTCTTATCCACAGTGAAGGTTTCAGCAAAAATTACCTGTTTCAAACTATTATTTCCTAACAGTTTAGCTTTTACATTTTTTTTT